AACAATTTTTTGTTTATTTCTTAAGTTATCTCATTCACATATTATTTGATTTGAATTGAAATTTTTTTATTTTTATTAAAAAATATTATTACTAAATTATTTAAATTATTAACATTACATTTTATTTCATTGAATCAATCTCTTTAATTTTGAATTAACTAAAATCTATTAACCAAAATTATCATTTTTTTTGCATATTAAAGAAGTAAAATTGTTAGCAGAATAACAATTTAAACTCTTAAACTCTTAATCTTAATCTTAAATCATAAATTTTAAATTAATGAGTATTAATTTAATCAATTTTTGTTGATTGTATCATCTCTTTGTAATTTAATTTTCTTATTACTAACTTGATTTTTTATTAAATTTTTTTCCCTCATATACTTATATATAACCTGCAAGTAGCTTAGTTGGGCTCAAACTTAAATTTAAATAATTGGGTGAACTAAAGAGAAAGCCTTGATTTAGGAATTAAGTAGGAGAGGAGACGCATCAATCCTCAAAAAGTCTCAATCGTAATTGCTTTGAAGGTAGGCAGACAGGCATTTCAAATTGTCAATACGTTTGCAGCAATCATACACTTGCAAATAACCAACCTTGACGCACCTGTCCGCCGTTTGTCTCGAGTAGTTATTGTCACCTTATTAAGAATTCTCCCTTTTTTTTCTTGGAATTGAATTCAAACCCCATGATATTTTATAAAAAAAAAAAAAGAAGAAGAAAAAAACCTTGACAATAAGCAACTGCCTGTTTTTCTTTTTATCTCTGTTGTCAACGTCCACACGACTTTGCTTTTTGAAAGCCCAAGTGTGCAACACTCAAATTAATTAATTCACATGTGCCCTAACCCACTCCCTCAATTCTGGTTCAGACAGATCCACGTCATCTCTTTGTACAAGGCAGACTTGAGAGTAAAATGTATTTACATGAAAATAGGGTTTTTTTACCGACGAGGAGTTGGATCAAGTAGTAAATGATTTGTTCCAGCTTAAGTAAAGTTTCGAGTTTGAATTTTTGTGTACGCAGCAGCCCTCGTTGAGAGACTTACCCACCATTTCCAGGTACGCAATGTGAGTCAGGTCCGAATTAGTCGAGGCGAAGTCTTGAATACCAGGCGGGAAACCAAAAAAAATAAAAAAATAAAAAAAGGGTTTTTCTAAAAAAATTTTAGATATTAATTGTTATTGAAATTTTTTTATTTATTTAATTATTTAATTAAAATGATATGTATGATATTGGTGATGAAATTAATATTAATTAATAATAATAAAAATATATTCATTTTATATTTAATTTTTTAAAATGATAATTATATCGATAATATTAGTATATGTTCTTTAAGAGTTAAAAAAGTATCAAACCTAAAATTTGAATTTCACATCATTAGGGATGTCTTCATTTTATGTTTCAAAGTGAAATGTGATCATTTGACTCACACGATTGGTTGATTAATTATATATTTAACTTGTACTTTAATAATAAAAGTTTAAAAAATCCATAAATATATGGTCCATTGTCTTCTGTCTTGACATTTTAGTAATTAATAACTTGAATTTTAATATTAAAATCCTAAGTTCAACTTTAAAAATTAATAAAGATGAATTTATAAAAAAAAATTATCTTTTATTATATTTGTATATATGTATTGCAAACAAATTCTTGGGTATATATGATCGAAGTTGTGGATGATGACACCAATCAGGACACGGATCATCAATTTCCGGCAATATATGGCATTCCCAATGTTCTTAAATAGGGTATGGCCTTGTGTCGGGACAAAGCCTCAATCATACCAAACATGAGGCTTGTTTAGAAGGGGACAACCTCCTTCAATTAATTAAATACTTGTATAATTCATGTACCCTAATGAACATCCATGCATGCAAAGTTGTTTGAAATGCTCGTTATAATGTCCCTTTTGACGCCTAAAAAGATAGACCATATGTGTATTGACATTTGAAAAACTTTACTCGGTATAATAAATAGGCATGGTGACAGCTTCTCTCCTTAGTGGTGGCTCTACTTGAGCCTTGTTTTATACGGAAATGGAAATTGGATCCAGCATTGAAATTTGAAAGTTAAGTCATGGCTACGTTGTCTTTCGCCATCAAAGTCATAGCGTAGTGGTGACAACACGCAAACATATGCAGCCTTGAAATTATATTAGATATTTAGGAACAAACCATATATTTAAACATAAATTTTATATATTATATTTATATAAAATTTTAATTAATTAATTTTTTTAATAATTAAAATATTTTTATATTTATTAAAAATAATTATTTTTTATTTAAAAAATTATAATAAATTTTAATTATTAAAAATATAAATATAAATAATAAATACTTTATATAAATGTAATATGTAGAATTAAGTAAATTTTTCATCGCACAAATAAATAGTAAAAGGTTAATCCCAACAGTGGGAAGTGGCAAACAACCGAGGACGATTCACATTTTACTTCTATATGTGGGAAACAACCAAACCTCCTCACACTAGGAGTTGATGGTAGGCTTTTGGCCGTTGGTCCATGTCATCGCCAACATGAGGTTCCACAGAAGGAGACACTCATCAACATTATTTCTTCTCTTCCATTTTACATCAATGGAAAAAACCCATTTTCCTTCCTATAATTCTCAAACCAACTACATAGCAACTAAATGTCAAGTATGCAGCTGTCTCAACTTTCAAAAAGGTTTGGTTCTAAAATAAATGTCTTTTTTTTTTTTTTTTGTTATTCCTTGACTTGTAGTTATCTAATTATTCTTCAATTTGAGCTCCCCCAATAATTTCAAATTATTGCTTGATTATATTCTCTAAGTTGTGGATGGCAATGGTCAAAAATCCCAAATAGTTAAAAGCAGCGACAGAGAGACAAGTATCCAATGAAAAGGGATGAAGAGAGTTGGTTTTCTGAGTTTTGTGGTTATAATTCAATGAAAAGTGATTCTTCATTTTCTATGACTCGGAACAAAGATTTTTGTTTTGAAGCTGCCACTTGAATTTGGGACCTACTATGTGTCTAATGCCCAATTTGGTGCCAACAACAGATCTTTTAGGCACCACAAAAAATATATAATTGTTCCCGAAATTCGTTATTCTTTTCCTAAAATATTTCAAGAACTTCCATGCAAATAATAAAAGGGAATTTCTGTGTCTTAAGGTTACGGACCGAGCTGGTATTTTTGGGTTAAATGCCTCTAAACTCATGAAATAAACTTGGCCCAATATCTACCAACCAAAATTTAACCCAATAGTCAATACTCGAAACGGCAAAACCCATTAAGTAACGTTGGCTCAATGCCGTCGGCAGAAAAAGTTAACCCTATACCCATTAACCAAATGGTCCAGAGTCCAGACCTAAACCCAATGCTTTTAATTCTTCGCCTCCTAATTTCGTAAAGCAACAAATGCTCCAGGCTAATTAGCCCTAATTAGCCCAGATTTTACATAAAGTCCAAATCCAAACCTGACCCAATAAAATAAGTAGTTGTGATAAACGTCGAGAATAAGCAGATGAGAATAGTGTCTATCATCCGTGTTTATCCATTTTATTTTTTAAAGATTAAAAAAAAATCATCATAAAATTATATCATTTTAATAAATTTTTATTTAAAAAAATTAAAATACTTTATTTTTAAAATATGAATTAGAGTGTTTTTTTGTCATTTTTTTTGTAATACTTTATTAAAATTACGTAGTTCTGAAATAATTTCCCTCTTAATTTTTACAAAGAAAAGTGGATAAACACTAATCTTTAAGCAAAATTTTCAAAATTTGATCCTCAAATAAGAGGATAAGGGTAAATTCACTTTAAAAAAAAGGACAAATTATCTTTTAAATTATTAATTAAAATAAATTATTTATTATTTAATATATAACGTTATC